GATAGAAAAATCTGATCAAGAAGATCAAGAGAAGGAAGAAAATTCAGCAAGGATAGGAAGAAAGAGATGAGAGGTTTTAGAATTGAGGGAGAGGTCTTGTAGAGATAGAGATCTAGAGAGACTTTGTGATTCCTCGATGTAATGAGTTTGTAATTCTTCCTTTGTTCTAGTGAATTTTGGTAGTGATTCCCTCCGTGGATATAGGTCAATGGACCGAACCACATAATCTCTTGTGTTCTTATGTTTGTGTAGTTCTCGCAATTTTCTTTTGTTCTTGTTCTTATTTGTTGCGTTAGTTCTTTCCTTCCTATTATGTTGTTCAAGTAGCTGAAGCACTATAGGTGTTCTTCGGCAATCCTATACTTTGGCCTGTAGCAAGATCCTCGGCATCCAAGAACCATTGCAGGGAGGGAGAACTCTATTCTCTAGCTACAGGGATCCAGGTCAAGAACCACAGACCTAGGGAAGTGAACGACAAGGAGTTGTTAATAAGAAGTGCAGTAAGGTTCTTTCCAACAAGAAAGAAGTTCTTGGATCCTATTCTTCCTGGAAAAATTTAGATAATATTATTAAGTTCTTAATCATCTAACTCAATACAAAGAGAGTTCCCTAGAAGGTTTTCTTTCAAGTGTTCTTGGAACTTGGCGAAAGGATTCTTGACGGAGCCGATTTCAACAGATTGATTTTACAAGTGTGAGAAAACAAAATTGTCCCTTTTACATCATAAAACTATAATATGTATAGAAGATATGAGGGACAAAAATGTATAAAAATTATATATTTAGCATTGTTTTAGAGAAAACAACAAAGGGCATTCTGGTCTTTTTAATTCCAACCGTTGGATCGTCTCGAGATCCATGCATATAATTTTTTGTATACAATTTGAACTTTTTAAAAAAATTCAAATTAGTATCCATTTTATCTATGGGAATAAGTTGCATCTTAAAAGAAAAAAAAGCTTATATTTTTTTTATTTTAAATAGATTGTTGACTTCTTCTATTTTAGGAAAATTAGTATTTATAGCACACAATTCTTATTTATTGGCATATTTAGCCAGGGGCGGAACTAAGAGCAAAGTAATATTTCAGAAAGTGGCAAAACTAATATTTGAGGAGGAGCAAAATGCTAGATTGTTCTCATATAAGTAAAAAAAAAAACCTTAATTTGAGGGGTGACAATTGCCCCCTCTATACCCTAGCAGGGTCCACCCATGTCTAACCCCAAAAACTTGATATTTATATTTATAATATTTTGATGTCATGAAATCATACATGAAAATACGTCTTTCAGTTTTAAAATGTTAGAAATGATGTTAAAATTTGAGTGTTAAATATATAAATATAAAAGTTTAAGTGTATGATATGAAGATATATATATGAGTAATGTGACATGTATGTAAATGCATGTCACTGAATTCTTATATATTTACATATCTAACCCATAAATTTCAATAGATGTGAGTAATCACGGGAGAAAATTTTACAAATATGTCCAAAATAACTACTGCCTAATTACAACTACTCTACCTTTAGATGGGGAA